TCAGATGAGAAACTTTATCTTTACATATCGGTTTCTAATCATTCTGTAAGTGGGGTTCTAGTTCGAGAAGATCGAGGTGATCAAAAGCCGATTTTTTACATAAGTAAATCTCTTACCAGTCCGGAAACGAGATATACAGTGATGGAAAAATTAGCTTTAATTAGCAGTGGTCGTATCCGCTAGGAAACTCAGACCTTATTTCCAATCTCATCCGATAGAAGTTTTAACTTCTCATCCGCTTCACTCGATTCTTCACAAACCAAGTCAGTCCGGTAGATTGGCGAAATGGGCAATCGAACTCAGTGAGTACGATATAGAGTACAAAAGCTGATCTAGCGCAAAAGCACAAGTTCTAGCTGATTTTCTAACCGAACTGCCATTAGATGATGGAACCTTCATCGAAACAGACTCTACATGGAAATTACATGGAGATGGGTCTTCTTCTAAACAAGGATCCGGAATCGGTATTAGGCTCGAAACTCCGACAAAGGAAATAATCGAGCAATCATTTCGACTAATGTTCCCAGCTTCGAACAACGAAGCGGAATACGAAGCTTTCTTAGAAGGACTTCAGCTTGCTCTTGCAATTGGAGCAGAAAAAATAAAAATTTATTGTGATTCTCAGCTAGTTGTAAACCAGTTTGCTGGAGATTACGAAGCTAAGGCTCCTCGAATGGAAGCCTATCTTTCGGCTGTCAAAAAATTAGCCGGAAAATTCAAAGAGTTCGAATTAGTTCGAATACCTCGAGGAGAAAACACTTCGGCAGACGCTTTAGCTGCCCTAGATTCTACCTCAGATCCCGAGCTCAAACGAGTTATCCCAATTGAATGTATTTCTTCGCGAAGTATTTCGGTTGAAGAAACAGAAAACGATAACATTTTGGAGGCCGAGCATATCGAAACTTAAGTTCCGGAAATGAAAATAGTTCATTTGTCGTCACCAGATCACGAGTAAAATCTCAAGATGATGAACTTACTTCACCACTAGAACTTCCTAAAAGAAAGCAAAGAAGAAAATTAAAGGATCAAGAGGTTCCCGCTAAAGAACCGTCTCGAACTGAACAGACACCTCCAGGTGATGAAGAAGTTCGGGAAACAATCGAAGATCCTGATATTCCTTCCGAACCTGAACCAAGGAAGTTTATATTCAAGGATAATACTTCCGCTAATGATTGGGGGGCTGACTGGAGGGTACCCATCAAAAATTTCATTCTTAGTGGAGAACTACCATCGAACAAATGGCAAGCTCGCAAATTAAAAATCATCAGCGCTAAGTATTATATAATTAAAGAGTCATCGTACAAGCGAGGCGTCAGTGATCCTTATCTTCTATGTATTTTCGGACCCGAAGTTGAATACTAACAAGCGAGGTCCACGAAGGGCTTTGTGGTAGTCATTCTTCGGGACGAGCAATGGCTTTCAAAATCAAACAGTTAGGATATTTCTGGCCAACTATGATTTCTGATTGCATCGATTACGCCAAACGGTGTAAAAAGTATCAGATGCACGCTCCTCTTATTTACCAGCCATCTGAAATTTTATCATCTATATCCACTTCATACCCTTTCATGAGGTGGTCAATGGATATAGTTGGTTCGATGCATCGCTCAACGCGAGGCGTCCAATACTTATTAGTTCTAACAGATTATTTTTTCAAATGGATCGAAGCTGAAGCTTACGTAAGTATACAAGATTCTGTGGTAAAGACATTCTTGTGGAAACACATTATTTGTCGCCATGGAGGTCCTTACGAAATAGTAACGGACAATGGTCCACAGTTCATTTCAAATGAATTTGAAGATTTTTGTTCCTCTTGGAGAATAAAACTTAGCTATTCAACGCCTAGGTATCCTCAAGAAAATGGGCAAGCGGAAGGTTCCAATAAAACCATTCTCAGCAATCTTAAAAAGCGTTTGAATGCTCGGAAAGGTGGTTGGTATGACGAGCTGCAACCTGTGTTATGGGCATATCGAACAACCCCGAGACGAGCAACGGGAGAAACTCCATTCTCATTAGTATATGGGATGGAAGCAGTAGTCCCAGCCCAGCTGAATGTTCCTGGTTTGCGCCGGAGCGAAGCTCCACTTAACGAAGGACTAAATTCTAAATTATTAGAAGATGTTCTTGATACAATCGATGAAAGGCGAGATCAATCTTTTATTCGACTTCAAAACTATCAACAATTGACCGCTCGATACTATAACTCAAAATTGAAAAACAGACCTTTAAATGTAGGAGACTTTGTTTTAAGACGAGTGTTCGATAACACAAAAGAATAAGGAGCTGGAACTCGGTATTAATTGGGAAGGCCCTTATCAAATCACAGAAAAGATCCGAAATGGTGTTTACCGTTTACAAGACCTTGATGGAAACCCCGTTCAAAGGCCTTGGAACATCATAAACTTGAAAAAGTTCTATTGCTAAAGCAAACACAATCGAACTACGATTTGGCTTGATCCTATTTTGGGTATGTAGGCAGCTCGCTAAACACGAGTCCAGCAATAATATAAAAATAAAAATATTATTCCAGTCATGGAGTCTTGTTTTTATAAATTCAATATTCGAGCATAAATATAAAAATACGTTGCGAACAATGTATGAAGAAATATTTTTAGCTAAAGCAAAAACCAGATCTAGAAGGGTCTTGGATTACGGAATAACTCTGCTCATTGGCCTGCGAGGTCAACGATGCTTAGGATACAACCTGGCATGTTTCCGTACTCTTGTAGGCCTATCTCGATCCAATCAGAGGAATGGGCTTCGAGGCGATGAAGCTCGCGAGCAATATCGAGGCGACGCTTCTCTAGTTCCATTCTTTTTCTTCTAATCTCTTTTTTCTCATCTTCGAGCTCTTTATGCCGAGTAATAAGCTGAGAAAACAAAAACGCTTTGTTTAGCAAACAACAAAAGTAGTCAGGTTACTAGGTTTAACAATACCTTGTTAATAAACTCTTTAGCCTTGACACGATCTTGAGCCGATAATCTCTCGATAAACACATTTGGGACCTGAATGCTGGTTCCCCCACCTAATGGGCGTGACTCTTCTGGTTCGCCATTTGCTTCCGTTTTTACAAGCTCGATGTCTGACGTTTCCGGAAGATCGTCGCTTATCTTTTTAAACGAGTCGGAGGGATTCTCTGAGGAATTACCTTCCTTGAACATTTTTGTAGGATTATTGTTGATTAAATTCAATAATGAGCTACACCTACTTTATATTCGAAATATACTCAATCACATTTAAGAGGATCAATTGACGATTTCCAAAAATCTGAAATTACCATCTTCGTGGGAAATGTAAGCGAGTTAATTACTAATTATATTTCCTAGATATAACGCATTAAATAAGATTTGAGTAAATCGGCAAAATTAAGGCGAAAAGGGAAATATAATTAGTATTTTTGGGTTTCTAGCCCAATAGTCTGTTACAAACAAAAAATAAATCAAGGGACTTGTTCGATCAGAAGTCTTCGCCTGGTAACGATTCCAGCGAGGTGGACGATCCCGAACATCTTTCTGAAGAAAGTCCCTCGTCGGAAAATAAATCGAGGAGACCGGAAGAAGGATCAATAGATTTCTCCTCCGATCCTTCATTTTCTTCAGCTCTTAACATCGGAAATCTCCGAAGTTCTGAAGAACATGAAATAAAAGAGGATCCGTCGCCAGTTGCCAAGGATAGATGAAAAAATTTATCCAGCATGCGGAGGAATCTTCGGAGGCAAGTAGGAATGATGGCCACGATCTCTAAACCGTTCCTCTCCCATTCACGCGGTTCAGATTCCAGGCGAAGGATCTCTCTTTCCATCCTCTTTATGCGCTCGTCAAGAGCACGACGCCTCCTTCTGATTATTTTTTTCTTATCACATAAAGCTTTATGTCTCCCGACGATCTGTTTTAACAAATATTTTGTCAACTGCCCGAAAAATAATTTACAGTCTTCCGAAAAGACTATAAGTTCGAAAGAGAACCTTTTCCAGGAAGTCATAACATTTGACCCTTTCTTTCCCCGTCCGGAAATGAAAAAACGTTGGATGAATTATTCCCTTTGGAGAGAATCCATCTTTGGATTCAAACAATGGATCCCCGTTTGAAGTAGTTATTCTTGAGCTTGATCTGAAAGAATATAGCGGCATATTTCAGTTTTTTCTTATAATAAACTTTGAAAGTCTTTCAAGAATCCTTTTAAAGGAGAAAAGTGTTCAGTTTTCTTTAAAAGTAATAATAACATATTGCGGGCGCCTACTAGAGCAGAATTCGGGTCCAATTAAAATATGGCCCAACGCTTTCAAAGCCGTTTTTAGGCCATGATCGAAACCATTGTCTGTTCCTTTTTATGGCAAAATTCTCATGAATTATAGAAACTTTATCCCTCGATAAAAAGCCTAAGCCGAGCTCCATCCTCGCATCCGAGAGACCGAGGAAAAATACTTGTTAAATTTTTCTCTTTAAAAAAGGCGAGTGAGCCTGATCAGCTCATCTCTCACGATTCATGAAACCTCTTTGGTGGGCTAGGACTTGCAAACCTAGAATCGCATCCAAACGTTTTACTTAAATAAAAAAAATCATATGTAGGAGCATGTACATGATTGTGTTCAGTCACACTAATTAAAACAAAACATTTTCGTCAAACGGAGTAGTCCTCATGGATTCAACAAAACAATTTTTTAAGAGCGTTCCTTTGCCTCAGGAGAACCCTCGTATGGCCGAGAACCTTCACCTACCTCGAATTGAGAGGGGAAATCTCCAAATACCAAAGAAAATTATTTCAGATCGAGAGTAGGGCGGGAAGCCGAGGATAGCTCGGATTCAACCGCAGCGAGTTCGGCAGCAACTTCTCTCCTCTCACTCTCGAACGAAACTCTTCCATTCTCTAGTTCACCAATCAGGTCTAGATTGCTCTTCAGCTCGGCTCGATCGATTAGAAGTTTAGTCCAGACCTCTTCGTCTTTGGTAAACTTCGTAATAGATTGAATAAGTTGCCTACCGAATCCCCTCATCTCTTCTCAAGCGTTATGTTCGGCTTCAGCGATGTCGTAAGCCCCGTTCCTAATTAAAAGCTCGGTCTTTTGATTCGTTTCTTCGAACAAAACCGTAGCCTCTTCTAGCTCAGACTCCAAGCGAAGAGCATTAGACCTCGCAGAATCTCTTTCAGCGTTCGCAATTCTGATGCGTTGCTCATTAGCTGCTAGAGTTTTTTTCATATTCTCAAAGGATGATTCGAGGGCTTTTGCCTGCTCAAGTCGCTCAGACTGATTGGCTAATCTAAGTTCATCAACCTCCTTCTTAGCCCTTGTGGTCTCTCTCATCGCTTGGTGAAGAAGGTTCTCATAATGGAAGATCATTCCGTTAGTCTCCATAAACGCCTTCGGAGTAAAAAAAAAAAAAACGTGTCATTAAGACAAAAAATATTTTACTTAAGAAAAAGGGGTTGTCAAAATCAAAATCCAGAAAATCTGAACCTGGGATAGGTAGCAGGCTCGATTGACGTACATCTGACGGATTTCCGGCCTCCAAACCGAAAAAGGGGGAAGGGATGTCCCTTCTCTGGTTTGAAAACTTTGGAAGATGTCTCCAATCTCTTCTCCGCCTACAAAACAGAGGAGAATAGTAGATTAATAAAATAGCTGCAATCTGTAACAAGTCTTGCTAAGGCTCGCGTTCTAAAAGAAAACTTACCAGAAATCGAAACAGGTAAGGGGTTTTGAGTCCAAACACTCAGTCCTTGAGACAAGGAAGCCTCCGATCTCGGCTCATCGATTTCTTCTGGAATTACTCTGTCTCCCGGAAGAGGGAGCCCAGATTCTAAAGGTTCTATAGAAGGGAAAACAGAATGCGAAAGGCTACGGGCTCGTGGCGGAGAACTTAACCTAACGGTTTTGAGTCTTTCATTTGATAAAGTATCCGAGTCTGGAGCCTTCCTCTTTGTGAAAAGAGAAGTAGTTTCTTCTCTCTCCCTCTCTTGTGCGGAAGAGCAAATAGCGGTGGCAACTGGAGGGTCGTTAGGAATATCGGCTCCATGAGAACCCACCGCAATTGACAAAGCCGCTTCTAAAGAACCGTCATCAACCAAGAGGGTCTTCCTGTGGAAGTTACCAACTCTGGAGATTGCAGCTATCCGCTTCTTTTTCCCAATTTCGGATAACTGATCCTTAAGAGCCTTAGTCTCGGCGAGCATTTTTCTCTTATCCCGAGCATTCAGGCTCGAGGCGTCCTTATCTTCGGAAGGAGGATCGAGGGGGTGAGTTTGACCATCTTTGATAGCGAGCCCCGCTTTACGAATACGTTGAAGGGTGAAGGAATTCCAATTTGTTTCACCCTCAGAGACGATTCGAAAGAAAGATAAGAAGTCAACAGTTGGGCAGGGGATCGTCTGGTTCCCTGAAACAAAGTGTTGAGTTAAGAATTCTATGTCTTTCGCACAAAAACGGTGAAAGATAATAAAAGATGATTCTGACCAAGTTTGGGCAACCAATTTCGGAGAAGAAGACCGGAAAGCCGCCCTTGGACGGAATGAGGATTAATTCGGAAAAAGAACAAGTATTTCCTCCAAGGCCCGTCATTTAGGGGCATTCCGTCGATGAGGTTACGGTCAAAAATAGGATTCATGGAAAAAATACCCGCTGCCGTAGAATCACGGGCTCGAAATAGCCCTAAGAGTTCACTGGTGGTGATAGAAAACTCTGCCTCCGCCGAGACGGTCAGGGTGCTCAGGACGTACCGGAGGAAGTTGGGAGCCATTTGGGGAAAAGCGATCCCTAAATGGAGGAGATACAAAAGGAGAACTTCCGGTATGGGAAAAAATAGACCACAACCTTTGAAATAGACTTCGTACGCACAACAGTAACCCTCTCGCACCATTTCCGGAGACTCGTTGGGTCTAGGAAGAGAAAATTCTATTTCCTGAGGAATGTTACAAAGGCGACGAAGAGCGCCAAGGGAAGCATGGGTAGATTCAGACCTGAAATGCGGACCGAATTTATCTCCCGTCTGGGTGAAGACTTCGTCCCCTCTGGGAACAGGGATTCCTTGGCTGTCATTTTCATTGTCTGAAACGTAGACGGCTGGGGAAGACAATTTTTTTTTTTTACTAAGAAATTTTTCTTTCTCTGGTTTGGTAAAAGCTTTCATGGGTGAATGTACGCTGTAAAAGCCGTCGTTCCATTTAACCCTATTTAGCGGAAGACCGCCTCGAGAATATTGGGAAGTGGGACGGTTTTCCCCGAGGTATTAATATAAAATTAAGAAATTAATGATGACGGTTGTCAGGGATATCAAATCACTTGATTATCCGAGATCGGCGTAATAGCATAAAACATGGAATAATTCCAGAGTGTTAAGGATCTCAATTCATTAATTACTATTTACTTAAGTCTTCCAAGCCGAACACTCAGCTCGCTAGACTTGGAGGGCTAAATGTTGGGGTCGGATCCCACACATCTTCGGTAGGATCCGTCTGGATCCTACCACGTCATTATTACATAATAATGCTCTTGGAATTAAAGATATTTTATTATGAGAATCGAACTTAATCAGTCGGGAGTTCGATTCAGTTTACTAAAAGAGTTCGATCTTTACGAGTACGGAGTTCGCTCTTATTCAACATGCAGTTCGGATAGAGAAAGGCCGAAACGAGGAGAATATTGTTCGAGGCTCGCGGTAGCGTCAAGACGCAGGAGTTCAGAGTCAACAAGAAAGAGTTCGAAAGATCCACGCGAAGCCCAAGATAGTTCGAATTCAAGCCGTTTCAGTCAAATTGTAACTTACATGATTAATGCGGATCAATGCGATTATGAGCAGTAAATGACCGCATTGATCATGTTTTCTCTATAAAAACAACCTCAAACGCATGTGTTTGGGGGGACGAATCTCATTACTCATTACTTCTAAGCAATACAATATATTTTTCTCTCTTTACTACTTTAGCAAGGCATTTTGTACTTCGTTCTTGTCAAATTTCTTTACTTCTTTTCTTGGTTGATTTCCTTTTCGAATTCTCATATTCATTTCCTGATTTTACAAGAGATTTTCTTCACCGAAATACTTAAAGATAATCGGGTGTGAATTTTCATATATATATATATATATATATATATATATATATTTAGGGTTAATTTATATATAGCTATGAACACTGTTTGAAGCCCCTAGAAAAAATAATAAATTATATAAAAGTGGATATAAGCATAGAATTATAATCAACTAGTCAACTAATATGTAGGTTTATTTCCCGAAGTCTAGATTTTGAAAACAACAACATGTGATTATAATTAGTCTATTAGTCTATAACGAAATCCACTTATCGAGGATGTGTATACGTTGATTAATTACTAAATACATCAACCTAACGAAAGTGATTGCTCAAAACGAACATCTCATCAAAACTATGTAAATGTGTTTAGAGAAACTAACACTCATTATCACTAAGGCATTTAACCAAAGGAGTACATTAATTTTATTATAAATTAATCTAACCAACACCAAAACCTAATTTCTTTAGAAAATGCGTAACATAAAAAATGCAGTGATGCACGAGACCACATATTTTCCGTAAAGCTTAAGTATTTCCCAGAATGAATAATATCTATTTTTGAAAAATTTCGGAGGCTGTTGCTTTTGTTGCTCCAACATTTGAAAAACAATATGCCGTCAATGGTTGAAATAAAGAAGATGAAAGCATAGACAACGATAGATTATGCACTTCAAGATATATATCAACAGAAAAAGATTTAAATTTCATATAAAAACAGGTTTTCTACAAGATATACCAAGCTAAATCATCATTTTTTGCAACTTTATCAACTATTTTCAAAAATATGCAAACCAACCCTATGATTACAAAAATTATATGTAATATAACCCTTATACCTATCTTTTGAATGTTTTTTATGGTCACAAGCATTATTTTTAAAAAAGTTTAAAATGAACTTGAACTTGTCGTCGTGAGGTCTTCTATTTGATATATTATTTAGAAAATATTTACAAACTTAATGGAGATGACAAAAAGTTATAATGCGTATTATTTTTTATTATGACGTATATTTTTTTGGAGATAGTCGGTAAAATTGGAAAAAAATAGCGACTTGGAAGGTTATTTATACCATACTATATATTCAAATTTTAATCAGATATTTTAAACTCAGTTGGTAAATATACCATTATATGAAAACAATAGAAAGATTATAAGTGACAAAATGTGGTCATAATATAGGTGACAAATATTTTTAAAGAATTTTAGTATCTATATATACATTTTTGAAGTACAAATATGAAATAAATCCTGGAGTTCCACCTTATTTACGAGTCCATGCCATTGGCATTTATTATTTAGTTTTACAAAATTTAAATAAAATATATTAACCAAACGATATCTTCCCTAATTTGTTTCTAAAAATCTCTACACAATATTTCCTTATATCTTAAAAAAAATAAATCAGTGTATTTTACTCCACAAAATATGTATAAAACCGATTTATAGCAAATATTTATATTAACATTTTGCATAACAATAAAACTACTAATTTATAATAATCAAAATATTCACATAGAAAAATCATGTAATTTATATGATAAATTTAAAATATATATTAGTAGTATAAATTTAAAATCATTCAAGGAATGGTATACCACGGATGAGATCCTAAAATTATTGGATTTTATAACAATAATAATTTATTTTCTTGGATTTTATAACACTAATAATTTAGGTAACCGGATAACATAGATGGATTTATATGGGATGACGGATTTGGGTCGATATTAATAAAGAACGGTATATCAAGGATGAAATCCTAAAATTAACAATCAAAATACAATAATACAACCTTAAACACAAAATAAAACATACAATATTTACAAAACAATTACAACTTAAAATTTTAAAAATTTAGTTATAAAAAAATCGACCCACGATATACCGCAGAGTAAAATATTCAAAATTTTAAAATTGACCATACATCGTTACTTAAAAAATGTATGTTTTCGTATCTATACTTCAAAAATTGAAACCTAAACAATAGTAATCATACACTAAATAATACATAGATAGATTTCTACATTTAAAAATACAAACTAATATGATATATCTTCAGTTAATCTTTTAAAAAATAACATTACATTTTAAAAAAAAAATATAGCCCCGCGGTACACCACTGGTTAAATTCTAGTTTAACATCATAACAGTTTGGATATTTGTAACACCCCGGTTTCAAGAATATGGTGGTGCATGCAGAGAGGTTTAAAAGAATTGATTTGGCCATCTATGTCACCAAAGTGCACTTATCTTTTCGGTCAACTGTCCTGAGAGAACTCCACAGTTAAGCGTGCTTGGGCGGGAGTAGTTTCAGGATGGGTGACCTTCCGGGAAGTGATTGTCAGAACTATGTGAGTGGGGACAAAACACAGGGAAATATCATGTGGTGATTTGTAGGGTCGGTAAACAAGTCTTTAAAGCCTCCCGGACATAGCGGACCGGCCGTCGGACAAGGGTGGGTCCATGGGCCCGAGAGAGGATGTGGGCCCCACTAGTAGGGACGATTCGGGCGATACAATATTAATTTATCCAAATATGTTAAGATATAAAATAATAATTAAATCAACTTCAAATTATTAACAACTAGTGTTTGACCCGTGCTCTGCACGGGCGAAAATAATATTAGTTTCTCAAAGATATATTGCAAGGTAAAAGAAAACTAATTTCATAGTCGGGATGAGAAACCTAGTTATTGGGTAAATTAGAAGGAAACAAAATCTTTGAAATTTCAAAAAAATTTTTATTTCGAGAAAAGTTCCATGAAAACAGAATTAAAAAAAAATGAAGATGTGGAAGTTTGTTTTTTTTTTTGTAGGGGAAGCAAGAGATCGTGGGTGGTGGTGGGGGGCGGGGGGAGAGGTGATGGGGAAAAGTCAATTTTGATTTTAATCGTAAATTAGTGTAAAAAAAGAAAAAAAGTGAAAGTACATAATTTAAAACTTAAGACACGTGGTTGAAGGATAAATGTGCAGTTATTAGAGAAATGACTTGTGATTTATTAAATAAGGATATATAAATATAAAAAAAAAATCTGAAATATTTAGAACATTTCCATTTTCTATAAACTTTACTCTACTTTTGAGGTGAAAGTGCAAATCTCTAAATTTTAATGTGAAATAAAATTGAAGGACTCCAAATATAAAGATTAGAGATCTCTATTTTTTTTTTTTTGTTATCCAGAGATCTCTATTTTGGAGTTGAAAATAGATATGAGTCGGAGATTATAATGTTTTGAATTTTTATGATTATTTTTTGTAATGTCATAAAAAGTGCGACCCTCTCAATATCTTTGTCTGAAATTAAAAAATTTAAGTTGAATTTAGTAATTTTTTTTAAGTAAACATATAATAATAAAGTAAATCTTTTTGTAGTATATTGTTTTCTGTATCAGGGGCGGACCCACTAGAGAGAGGAAGGAAAGTTAACTGACCTGGTAAAATAATGATATAAGCTTTTTTTATTTGTAAGAATCCATAGAAAAATAGCAGTTGAGTTGGTAATTTTGTGTCCAATAACTCTCCTAACCCGAGTTTGAATCTCTGTTTTGACATTTTTGGTTTAATTTTTTTCCTTTTATTTTTGTTATTATCCAAGTAAAAAAAAATCCTGGATCCGCCACTACTTTGTAGTATATTGCTCTTATAAATTAATGCTTCATTTTTACAAATTAAAAACACTGTTAGTAAAAAATATTTTACTCTACCATGCA